GAAGCGCCAGGGGTCCCAACGTTCGGTTTGGTGAGCGCTTATTTTCAGGCCTCTGCGGGCCCCAATGAGACCAATTTGAACCTGCTGGCCACTCTTGGCCAGACGCAAGATCTTGTAGGCAAGCCCCTCCTGGTTGCTGGCGATTTCAACTTGCAGCCCGAGAGGCTTCAGAAGGGCACGGATTTCCTCACCCGTGCCACGATGGCGGTGGCGGCGCCGAAAGCGGCCACCTATTATACTAAGAAGACGAAGTCGACCCTAGATTTCTTTATCCACAGCCAGGCCCTAGGTCCCTGGCTGCGCCCCCCTCGCACCTTGTCCTCCTATCCTCTTTCTCCCCACCGTCCTGTGCTCACGTCACTGCAAGTGCAGGACAATTTCCAGATCCCGACGCTCCTCAGGCCACAGAAGCTCCCCGCTAGGGTGCCCATCGGTCCTCAGCTCCCGTCGGTAAGTTGGCATCAGACTGCTGCTACGATAGATTATGCTGTCCAATTGCTCGGAGATGCTTCGCAGCCGCTCTCCGACCAGCAGCGCTCCACCATCCTGGACCACGTCTATTTCACCCTCGTCCAGGACCTCGAACACACACTAAGTGTGAAAACAGACACCCCCCTCAAGCCCAGTGAAACACCTAGGGCCCACCCCCCCCCAGATCCACATGGTCTCGGCGAGTGCCAAGTGCACCCAGGGGCGTAAGTGCTGGACGGCCTATTCCAGGCCCCTTCGGTGGCTCCAAAATCGGCTGCAGGACTTTCGTCGCAGCATCCAGGACAATGACCTCCAGGAATTTCGGGACACTCTGGACAGTCTAGAAGACAGCCCAGAACTTTTCAGTACCTCTTCTGCCCTTGCCCAAGGGCTGCAGGAAGTTCGTATCGCCACAGGACTCTTGCATGAGGATTTCCAAGTGCAGAAGCTCAACGCAGAGTTGGGCATAACAATTCTAGACGAGCTGCTCGAGCAAGTCGGCAAGATCATAGATTCTGAACTTGCCGCCGAGCACAGGAAGGACGGCCAGGAATGGAGGGATTGGGTTCAATCTTCTATGAAGGGAGGAGTGGGATGGGCTCACAGGTGGACGAAGAAGTTGGAAGCTTGGAGGCCTGTCTCAGTTGTTCACTGCCAGCGTTTCTCAGGACGTCCGCAGCACCTCCTCCAGGTTGAGGCCGACAGACTTGCTAAGATCTGGGAGGTGCACTCCGAAGAGCCCCCCCAGTGGGTCCCCCCGACGGACGACAGAGTTGCCCTGGGACCTATCACCCCCGTGCGCCTCCGCAAGGTTTCTCGCAGTTTTCCTCACAGTACGGCCTCAACGTGGGACGGAGTGCACCCGCGTCACTTCGCCATGTTAGACGACGAGCAAGCCGGGCTCGTCTGCCAGCTGATTGAGCTTATAGAGCAGGTAGGGCACATGCCATCGCAGCTTCGGGGAGCTATATCTACGCTCATGCTCAAAGTTAAACAGCAAGATGATATACATGCTCAGCCAGCCTTTCGCTCCATTGGCATGCTCCCTGCTCTGTATCGTGTGTCGGCCCGTCTTAGGAGGTCTGCTGCCCGCGAGTGGGAATATCACCACAGGCGGCCATACATTGCTCATCAAGCTGGACACTCTATTGTTGAGTTGGTCTACGCTCAGTCTCTTGAATGTGAATTTCATGCGTGCAGTGAGGATCCCCAACACTCTGCCCAAGTGCTCTGGGATCTGTCTAACTATTATGAACATGTGGATCGTGAGTGCCTTGCCAAGAGAGCTGCTGCTTCTGGATTTCCATGTTGCTTGCTCCGTATTATACTATCTCAGTATGGTAGCTCACGATTTGTTGCCATGCAAGATGTGTGTGTTAGCGTTGGAAAAGCATGGAGGGGACTCATAGCTGGGTGCGGTTGGGCTACGTATCTGGTTCAGATGTATGTTTTAGCTCCCCTCGACCAGTGGACCAGCACACACTGTTACATCCGTCTTGCTATGTTTATCGATGATTTGCTGCTGCAGTGTCATGGCAAGAGCTATGACCTAGTGATCAGCCAGATGAATGTGGCTGCTCGATCTCTAGCCAGTTGCATCCAGCACGAGTTTAAGTGCCAGATCGCCACTAAGAAGAGCCAGGTGCTCGCCTCCAGCCAAGACCTCCAAAACAAGCTTCGGAAGACCCTTGGGACGCTCGCGGGGCCCTCCACGGACAATTCAGGACCCAACCTTGGTATTGAAAGCGGAGCTGGAAGACCCCAGAGGAGATGGAGGAGGGGAAGGAAGCTTTTGGAGCGCATCGTCAGGATTCAGAAAAGGATGGCCCGTATCAGGATGATAAAGCACGCTGGAGGAAATGGAAAGAAGTTGTATAATACTGGCCTCTTTGCGGCCACCTCGTTTGGAGTTGAGGTCACGGGCATCAACAACACGATGCTCGCGCAAGCCCAGACTCAGTATTTAGCTGCAGCAGGTCCTAGGTGTGCCTCAAGGAGTCGAACTCTCGCCCTCCTCATCCTCCAGGACCCCCTGTGGAAAGCGGGCCTCGGGCCCGCGCTTATGTGGCACCGTCTCGTCTGGGAGGCCCACGCTCGGCCCGAGTCGGCCGTCGTCAGTCTCCAGCAGCTCAGACTTTGGGGAGAGGCTGTCTTGCCGAGGGTTTCTAAATCTTGGGGCTCCTGTAGGGGCCCTCTCAGTGCGGCGGCCCTGTCGTTGGCCAGGGTGGGGTGGTCTTTTCAAGGTCCCTTCCAGTTTGTGACTCCTGCAGGCCTTGTGTACCCCCTTCCAGGAACCTCCCCCGCCTACATTGCCAAGCAGCTAGAGATTGCCTGGCACGATCGATTAGCTGAACGAGCTGCAGCCAAGATGGGACATCCTGGCGAGCAGCTAGATGTTGCAGCACTGCGCGCTGTTCTTCGTGCCACCGACCTGTCCAAGCAACAGAGAGGCACGTTGCTGGCCTTTGCTACCCAGAGCATCTGGACGATGGAGCGCGCACTCGCAGCAGGGTATGATGTGCCCCAAGGATGCCTATGTGGACACCGCAAAGATGATCTCAAACACCGCCTCTTGGAGTGCCCCAAGACCGCCAGTGCCCGAGAAGATTTCACTAGTGGGGAGCTTGCTAGGTTGAAAGACCCAATTCCTGGTACCTCCCCCCTGCATCTTGGGTTTCAGTTCACGCCCGATTTCGTGGGCTCCCCTCCCGCTGGCACTGGGTTGGAGGCCGCTAGGTTTTGGTGTCGAGACCCCTGTTTAAGTCCTGAGGAAGCGTTTACAGGGGATCTGTTTATAGATGGTAGCTGTACGTACCATGGTCATCACAATTTCAACGCCGCTGGGTTTGCCGTAGTGTGCATGGTTGATGGCGCCGAATTTGCCACCTTCAGTGGCAGGGTGGGGTCCCTGGGGGCCCAAACCTCTGGGGCCGCCGAACACCTAGCTGCTGTCGCGGCTGGCAGGCTCTCCCGACAGGTTGACAATATATATTCGGACTATAAAGGGGTTTTGCAGCTGCACGGAGAGGTTGGATACCCTCGCCGTAACCAATGGTCAGGTTGCAAAGTCCTTGCGGGTGGAGGCCTGATCTCTCTCGGCGATAAGCTTAAGAAAGTTAAGGCCCACCAAAATCTGGACTCGCTGCCCCCCGATAGTGAAGAATTTCGGATAGCCAGTGGCAATGAGGCCGCTGACAGGATTGCCAAGGCCGCGGCGAACCTTGGCAGTCAACCCAGTCTTGCTGAAGCAGAGCAGTATCAGAACGACACTGCTCTGCTTAAGAAATACTTACGATACGTGTCTCATGCCCTTGGAGAGTGGCCTGCGATTGCCCCTCGTCGGAACAAGGCGCTGGCCAAGCCCGTCAAGAGCCTCTCCCCTCCCTCGGGGGCTGCCTCGGCCTTGGCCTCCTGGGACCCTCCCTCGCCCCCTCCCCCTCCGCCGCCTGGGCCCCCTCGGAGGGATCGTCCTGCGAACCCGTCCCCGAGGGCCCATGTCTGGGCTCATGTGAATGGCCAGCGCCGATGCACGATCTGCCGCATCCGCGTCCGCACATTCAAAGCATTGGAGGAGCGATGCAGAGCAATGGATTGCCCTGGACACTGCCCGCAGATGTCCAGTCTAGCCTCCAACCCTAGGGGGCATAATTTGTTTTATTATGAGCACCTCGAGCAGCCTACGAGTTTCTTGGTGTGCCATAAGTGTGGTTCTTTCAAGGAGGGCAATTCGCGTGGACTCTCAGGCGATTGCAATTTGAGGCCGCCCCACAACGGGGCGAAGCTGCAGCTGCAGAGAGCACAGTCTGGCCGTCACCCGAAGAGTGCCGCCGCCAGCCCGATCGTGCTCAGCCTCCCTCCTGTCCCCCTGGCGCAGCTGCTCAGAGAAGCAGCCCAAGCCAGGCAGGAGGCCGCCACTCCGCCCTAGTGGACAGGTGGCCCGAACTCATCCCCCCCTACTGCGCGCTGGTCCTCCTCCTCCTCCTCCTCCTCCTCCTCCTCCCCTCCTCCCCTCCTCCTCCCCCATTTCTCCTCTCCTCCTCCATCCTCTCCTCTCCTCCTCCTCCTCCTCCTCCTCCTCACCATTCCTCCTCCTCCTCCTCCTCCTCCTCCTCCTCCTCCTCCTCCCTCCTCCTCCTTCCTCCCCCCTCCCTCCTCCCCTTCCTCCTCCTCCTCCCCTCCTCCTCCTCCTCCTCCTCCTCCTCCTCCTCCTCCTCTCCTCCCTCCTCCTCCTCCTCCTCCTTTCTCCTCCTTTCTCCTCCTCCTCCTCCTCCTCCTCCTCCTCCTCCTCCTCCTCCTCCTCCTCCTCCTCCTCCCCTTCCCCTTCCCAGCTGCGTGAGCTGATTTTCTACCCTGCCCTTCGCTATCCTGCCTTGTTGCCCCCCACCGACAGACCAGCGCGCCAGTCGGCACTGCACGCACCTGCCGGGTGTGCTTCGCTGTCGCGGGCCTCGCCGCCTCTCCGCGGCCGCAGCCGCGGCCCCTCGGCGGGCCGACCGCCCCCCCCCCCCTGGACGTGTGCCTCCTCGCAGGGTGGCCTTCCTGACCATCTGCGTCGCCGTGGTGCTCCCGATTTTCAAGACCGGCTGCGGGGGGGGGGGCTTCGTGCCCTCGGGGGCGGCCAAGAAGGGGGTGGTGACTGCGGGGGGGGGATATATCGCGGCGGGGGCCATGATCTCTCCCCGGATTTCATGGCGGTTTTTCCTACTTCAATGCGTCCCTGGTCCCCCCCCCGGGCCGCGCACATGCCGCGGGCCATGATTTGCGGGGCAACGAAAGGGGGGGATACGGTCGGACCGAGGTACAAGAGCGAGGTCGGTTCGGGGAGGGTACCCTGATGCTTTTCGTGCTTGTCGGGTGTTCTTGTGCATCCTGGGGGAGGGTGCCCTCGAATGTTCTTCAGATTGGCCAGCAGGGGGTCTCATGGCCTTGGAGGATGTTCTTCTGTCCTATGTCCGACTGCAGGCATATGGGGGGATGCATCGGCTCCCAATCACCCATTGATCGGCCATAGGGGCCCGATAGCCCCATCCCGCCCAGGAAGGTGCGATTTCGCAATCGGGGGGGCCTGTCGCCGATCCAACGGCGATGTATCGCCGACTCCAGGTCGATGTTTCCCCCTCCTCTGCCAGTCCCCCCCTTCTCGTTGCCCCTCAGGTCTTGCCCTTGGGGGCGGCCAGGATGGGGGCAATGACTTGATGGGGCGCTCATCATGGCCTGGGCCATGGCATCTCCGAGATGTCATGGCCCCCCGCTTCGTCTTACTCTTCTTCTTCTTCTTCGTCTTCATGTTCTTTTTCTTCATTTTCTTATTCTTCTTTTCTTCTTCTTATTATTCATGTCCTTCATCTTATTCTTATCATTATTCTTCTTCTTCACTTTCTTCTCCTTCCTCGCTTTCCCGTCCTCTTCTCCTCTCTCTGCTTCCAGCGCCTCCCCTGGTGCCCCCTTCGCCCGCGCGCACGCCCTCGAGCCCTGCTCTACGGCCCCCGCCCCTGGACGCCCACCCTCCCCGGACGCCCCCGAGACGCGCCCGCCCGCGCGCGCGCCGCCTCGGCACGCCCTCCGGGGGGCTCGGCATCGCTCGGACGTGTGCATCTTTTTTTCTCGGCGAGAACCATCGAGGACCGTCCTGGACCATCGAGCAAAAAAAAACACGCACGAAACCGAAAAATGCACGGGAAATGGACGTCCGAGCGACGGCAAGGGAGGGGGGGGCTCGGGGGCTCGCGGGCGCCGGCCCGTTGGCGCGGCCCCCTGTCGGGAGGGTCTCCGCGACGGGCCCCAAGAATGAGGTCGGGCCTGTCCCCTCTACAAGGGCGATTTTGGACGAAAACTTTAAAAATGTCAAAACATATTCCAGAAGTGTTCTGAAATGGTCCACAAATCGTCCCCGGATTATTTTTTAGATCATTTTTGGATTTTTGAATCTTCCCCCTGTAGAGGGACATGCCCGACGTAACTCGAGAGCTCGGCGGGAGCACACGGCATGCTGAGGTCAGGGTCGGAGCAGATGGGGTCGGAGGAGTCGCGCCGCATCGCCGATGCATCGCCGATGCATCGCCGGATGCGGGTCGATGTGGAGCCCGATTTGGCTTCACGTCGACGTCGCCGACGCATCGCCCGCGTCCACGATGCATCGCCGATGCGTCGCCGATGCATCACCGACGTATCGGCGATGCGGCGCGATCCTCCGACCCCATCTAGGAGGCCTCTAGGTTCGGGGTCGGGGCCGGGGCCCTGGGACTCGGGGGTTCACAGGACCTCGGCGCACTCCGACTCGCGCCTCGCGGCCAGGTGGCGGATTCGTGGTGGCTCGACGTATCGAAGGTCAGCCGTACAGATCGTGAGGCCGGTAGAGGGCGAGATGGCGAGACAGATCCGACACGAACGGTAGACCGAACGCTACACTCATCCCCCCAAACTCGTTTTCACCTGCAGGTTCGGTCGGAACCGTACGAATTGGAAGAGCATAAATGATTCATAATATTATTATCAAAAACACCTACGGCGAATCACCGCCGCCCCCTGCCTTTTTGGAAGCGCCTATGTGGCCGAACGTTGAGGTCAGACCTGCCAAGCTATCGGACCATGTGTTCCCCGAATCGGTTTGGAAAGCCTTCGGGCAACACGTGTGCGTCTTGAAGGTCATCTTGGCCGTCTGGAGGCCATTTTGACCCTTTCGGGCCTCTTGGAGGACATCTTGGAGGGCTCCTGGGCCGTCTTGGAGGCCATCTTGAGCGTCTTCGAGGCCTCTTGGGCCGTCTTGGGTGCCTCTTGGGGCTGTCTTGGTCCTCTTGGGCGATCTTTGGGGGCACTTGGGCCGTCTCGGGCCCCTTCCTGGAGGCCCTCTTGGAGGCCTCTTGGGCCATCTTAGGGCCATCTTCGGCCGTCTTGGTGGGCTACTGGCCCGTCTGACGCCGGCGGAAGCCGGTTGGGGGGCCTCTCTGGGCCGACTTGGGGCCCTCTTGGAATGTTCCAGGGCCGTCTTGGAGGCCATCTTGGGTGTCTTAAAGGCATCCTGGGCCGTCTTGGGGGCCTCTTGGTCTGTTCTGGGGCCATCTTGGAGGCCTCTTGGGCGATCTTTGGGCGATCTTTAGGGCTCTTGGGTCGTCTCGGGCCGTCGGAAGGCCGAAAAGAAGCACGTGTCAAAATCCTTCAAAAACCTCAGGAACATCAGTGTTTTTTCTCCTTCTCTGGCCTTCTGGAGGCCCTCTTGGAGGCCTCTTGGGCTGTCTTGGGCCAGCTTCGTGCCAACTTCGGCCATCTTGGTGGGCTCCTGGCCCGTCTGACGCCGTCGGGAGCCGTCTGGGAGGCCTCTCTGAACCGGCTTGGGGCCCTGTTGGGGCGCTTTGGGGCCGTCTTGGGGCCCATCTTGGGCGTCTTGGAGGCCTCCTGGGCCGTCTTGGGACCCTCTTGGGGCCGTCTTGGGGGCCACTTGGGCCGTCATGGGGCCATCTTGGAGGCCTCGTGGGCGATCTTGGGGCCCTCATGGGGGCCTCTTGGGCCGTCTTGAGCCGTCGAAAGGCCGAAAAGAAGCAAATGTCAAATCTTTCAAAACCTTAAGGAAAATCAATGATTTGGGCCTCTTCGGGCCCTCTTTGAGGACCTCTTGGAGGCCTCTGGGGCCGTCTTGGAGGTCTCTGGGGGGCCTTTTGGGCCGTCTTGGGCCGTCTTGGACTCTCTTGGGCCGTCTTGGAGGCCGTATTGGACCATCTTGGGCGAACTTGGAGGCTTTCTTGGACCATCTTGGAGGCCATCTTGGGCCAACGTGCCCATCTTGGCGCCATCTTGAGCCATCTTGGAGGATTTTTCTTGGATTGAGCACCTTCCCGGGACTCCGGCGGGACGCGCCGGAGGCCCAGCGGGGGCTCTCTTGGACAAGAACCAAAACCAAAACCAAAACCAAAACCGAGAGGGTTCAGCACGCCAGGCACCGAAGACGCCTACGGCGAATCACCGCCGCCCCCTGCCTTTTTGGAAGCGCCTATGTGGCCGAACGTTGAGGTCAGACCTGCCAAGCTATCGGACCATGTGTTCCCCGACTCGGTTTGGAAAGCCTTCGGGGAACACGTGGGCATCTTGAAGGTCATCTTGGGCGTCTTAAAAGCCTCTTGGCCCAAGAGGCTTTTAAGACGTCCAAGACGACCTTGGCCGTCTTGGGGGCCCCTTGGGGCCGTCTTGGGGGACTCTCGGGCCGTTCTGGGGCCATCTTGGAGGCCTCTTGGGCGATCTTTGGGTGATCTTTGGGGGCTCCTGGGCCGTATCGGGCCGTCGGAAGGCCGAAACGAAGCAAATGTCAACATTCTTCAAAAACCTCAGGAACAGCAGTTTTTGTTTTTTTGTTTTTTTTCCTTTTCTGGCCTTCCTGGAGGCCCTCTTAGAGGCCTCTTGGGCCGTCTTGAGCCAGCTTCGAGCCAACTTCGGCCATCTTGGTGGGCTCCTGGCCCGTCTGACGCCGTCGGAAGCTGTTTGGGAGGCCTCTCTGGGCCGACTTGGGGCCTTCTTGGGGTGCTCCAGGGCCGTCTTGGAGCCCGTCTTGAGCGTCGTAAAGGCCTCCTGCGCCGTCTTGGGGCCCTCTAGGGGCCGTCTTGGGGGCCTCTTGGGCCGTCATGGGACCATCTTGGAGGCCTCTTGGGTGATCTTGGGGCGACCTTGGGGGCCTCTTGGGCCGTATCGGGCCGTCGGAAAGCCGAAACGGCGCAAATACCAAAATCCTTCAAAACCCTTAGGAAAATCAATGATTTTCGCCTCTTCGGGCCCTCCTGAAGGACCTCTTGGAGGCCTCTTGGGCCGTCTTGGAGGCCTCTTGGGAGCCTCTTGGGGCCCTTGGGCCGTCTTGGAGGCCATCTTGGGCCGTCTTGGATGCATCTTGGGGCCATCTTAGCCGTCTTGGAGGCCATCTTGGTTGTCTTGGAGGCATCTTGGAGGCCTCGTGGGCGATCTTGGGGCCCTCATGGGGGCCTCTTGGGCCGTCTTGAGCCGTCGAAAGGCCGAAAAGAAGCAAATGTCAAATCTTTCAAAACCTTAAGGAAAATCAATGATTTGGGCCTCTTCGGGCCCTCTTTGAGGACCTCTTGGAGGCCTCTGGGGCCGTCTTGGAGGTCTCTGGTGGGCCTTTTGGGCCGTCTTGGGCCGTCTTGGACTCTCTTGGGCCGTCTTGCAGGCCGTATTGGACCATCTTGGGCGAACTTGGAGGCTTTCTCGGACCATCTTGGAGGCCATCTTGGGCCAACGTGCCCATCTTGGCGCCATCTTGAGCCATCTTGGAGGATTTTTTTGGATTGAGCACCTTCCCCGGACTCAGGCCAGACGCGCCGGAGGCCCAGGGGGAGTTCTCTTGGACAAGAACCAAAACCAAAACCAAAACCGAGAGGGTTTAGCACGCCAGGCACCGAAGACGCCTACGGCGAATCACCGCCGCCCCCTGCCTTTTTGGAAGCGCCTATGTGGCCGAACGTTGAGGTCAGACCTGCCAAGCTATCGGACCATGTGTTCCCCGACTCGGTTTGGAAAGCCTTCGGGGAACACGTGGGCATCTTGAAGGTCATCTTGGGCGTCTTAAAAGCCTCTCGCCCCA